TTGAAACTGGTCATAAGAGGTAATCAAAGGTGTAGTGGTATTTTGGTTGTTGCCACTAAGTCTTCTAAGATATGGCTCAAAGAAGTTGAATGCAGATCCACGGAGGTAGCTGGCAGCGAAATAGATCTTCTGAATGTCTGAGGTGAACTGATGAGGCCTGAGGGTGAAGTAGATGTCCAGTTGCATAAGAAATCCCTTCAACTTCCTCCTGTCTCCATGGTATAAATCTGGTGTTTGCACTTTAGGAAGTGCACCTGGGGTACTCGAAATAGCCAGAGGAGCTGTGGGAAGCTCTGTATGATGTGTCTGAGTTGAAGATTGTGTTGCTGAAGTGTTGGCTTGAAAGGTGTTTTCCAAATTCTCAAGTTTGTTTGTTATAGTTTGTATAAAGGCAAACAGTTGTTGCATCTGCTGTTCAGCAGTAGTTGTAGGAGCTTGGTCGTCCTCCATTGTAGTATCGAAGTGCTGCTATAGAAATAGTTGAAGCTTGAAGCAGGCAAGGTGTAATGGTGGGTGCACCAGATATGAGAATCTAGCCACCCAAGGAAGGGATGAATTTACTAAGACAACACACTGTCTTAGGAAACAGAGCCAAAGGGTTGTAGCTTAGACTATTCCACAACGCAGCAATCAGGTGTATGATGTGGTGAAGTGGTTTAGACAAGTTGCAACAAATGTTGAGTCTGAGAACTCAGGGGTAAGTCAGAGGTTAGCACCTCACTGACTTTTCAAAAACAGAGAATAACAAGATCAATGCTTGGAAGCTTGGAAAAGACGTAGAAGTATGTGCTAGTCGATTTACTGTATTGTCTGCTTGCCCTTTCTTAAGGAAAGGGCAATCCTATTTATGCCAAAGGAGTGTAGTTCTCTCATTTTCCATGACTTTCCATGACTAACCAGGCTTGGTAAATGTATTAGAAATCAAGTGCGACCCACAACTAGCTTGCTAATCATGTAGTGAACGTAAGAGAATCCCATAGAACCATCTCTTGGGTTCCTAGCCTATAGGAAGTGAAAAGGAGGTCCAAGGTCAGAGTACCTATAGACAAATTATGTCATAACTTAACCAATCTTGTGGGTAACTAAGGAGCGATGACGTGTAATGAATCATAGAGGGTTGTAGAAGCTTCTAGAGCTATCGTTCATGTTCCTAGGCCTCTAGTTGGTAGAGATATGCCATGTGGTAGTATTGACCCACCCCCTTAAGGAGGAGATTTTCTTAATAACTTGTTCAATGAGTGTCCAAATGATATGCCGTGATGTATGTAGCATAAACAGATGTAGTAGAAGAGTTTGCAGCAATCGTTGAGTAGTATTGCTTCTGTTGTTGGTGTGATAAGCCAAGATATGTATGGTGACTTGTAGGTTTGAGGAGGAGATTTCTAAGTTTGCTCTTGAGTTTGATAGCAAACTGAGTGCAACGAATGTCAGTATGACAAGACCCTGTGTCAGAGGGGACTCGGGCCTGGCCCTTCGCATGGGGTCACTTCGACCCTTCGTCTCTCATGGTGGTAGCTGCTTGTTGTGACGCCGGTGAGACATTTGGGAAGGGTGGCTCCCGCAAGGGTTACGGTGGTGAGTGCGCCCTGGCTGGGAGGGTATTTTAGCTTAGAGTCGCAGACAGTAATGACTCTGTTTCTTCCGCTTTGTCTTTTCCTCTGTGATCATAGTTTTGTTCTTTTCCCGTTTGTTCCTTTCCCGTCTCCCCTTTCGTAACCCCTCCGAGTAGTTCTTGAGGTGGTCCTGGTAAATCTGGGTATTCCGTATGAAACTCTCTGAGTTTATGGGGAGAGTTCGTGAAGTTTGACGCTGGGTACCACTCCGGGTCCGGATCGTATCTGACCCAACTAACCCGGTATTGTAGTTGTTTCCAGTGGAGCCTTACGGCGAGGATCTTTTCCACTTCCCAATCCTCTACGCCATCTATCACTTCGCTGCTAGGCTCAGGCAGATCCTGACCAGGTAGGGGGTTGTTCGGGTCCTTCATGAGTGTCATACTGACATTCGTTGCACTCAGTTTGCTATCAAACTCAAGAGCAAACTTGGAAATCTCCTCCTCAAACCTACAAGTCACTATACATATTTTGGCTTATCACACCAACAACAAGAGCAATACTACTCAACGATTGCTACAACCATCTATGATTCATTACACGTCATCGCTCCTTAGTTACTGGGCTGATATTACCACATAGCATATCTCTACAACCCTCTATGATTCATTACATGACATCACTCATACTACCACATGACATATCTCTACCAACTAGAGGCCTAGGAGCATGAACGATAGCTCTAAAAGCTCCTACGAACCTCTATGATTCATTACATGTCATCGCTCTTTAGTTACCCACAAGATTGGTTAAGTTATGACATAATTTGTCTATGACATAATTTGTCTATAGGGGTACTCTGACCTTGGACCTCCTTTTACTTCCTATAGGCTACGAACCTAAGAGATGGTTCTATGGGATTCTCTTACGTCGACTACAGTTACCAAGCCTGGTAATCATGGAAAGTCTTGGAAAATGAGAGAACTACACTCCTTTAGCATAAATAGGATTGCCCTTTCCTTAAGAAAGGGCAAGCAGACGATACAGTAAATCGACTATCACATACTTCCACGTCTTTTCCAAGCTTCCAAGCATTCATCTTGTTACTCCTTGTTTCTGAAAAGTCAGTGAGGTGTTAACCTCTGACTTACCCCTGAGTTCCCAGACTCAACATTTGTTGCAACTTGTCTGAACCACTTCACTACATCACACACCTGATTGCTGCGTTGTGGAATAGTCTAAGCTACGACCCTTTGGCTCTTTTTCCTAAGACAGTGTGTTGTCTTAGTAAATTCATCCCTTCCTTGGGTGGCTAGATTCTCACATCTGGTGCACCCACCATTACAGTCATCTTCTGTTGGATATTATCAATTAGAGCATTATACTCAAACAATATTTCCTCATCATTCATATAAGTCAAATCAATGATATCTGCAACAGAGTAGTGTTTGAATAGCTGTTCCCGTTCAATTTTCTGGCGGTAGAAGACAAGCATAATTCCCATATTGTATCAGGGGTCATTTGGTTGCGCTTATAATTGTAGACAGCATGGGCAGTGCTAAAGAATCGCTCAACAAGAGATTCTGAAGCAGGAATACAAAGTATATCCCAGGCCATAGCACCAAGTCCTGGGAATAGTAGTTCGTTTTCTTTCCACCATTTTAATGGTGGTTGATGGGAGGGTGCTAATAAAAGTTAGTAGTGATTACTATAATTATTACTATATTGAGGATCATCGAGAGAAAATACATCACTATAGGTATGTGCATGTATTGGTGAACTTAAAGATTGGCTATAAGACATTAAATTTAAAAATATCAAGATTATATTATTTTAAAGAAAATAGAACAACTGCTTGAATAATTCTCAAGGTATATATCTATTCTGTTCATACCTCTCTGTTCGTTTGAATTTTCCTCTTTAGAATATTTTAGATTGCTTGTGGAGTATATTTTTATAGTAGGTTTCAGTAATATGGGCCTTTGAGAATAAGAGCCAATTATAGTAATATTTATGGTAAACTAAAGGAGTATAGTGTAGAGTAGTGTATTGAGCTAACTAGACTGTTCTGACAGTAATACCTGATCTACATACCATAGAACCGGGCAAGAAACTCCTCAGACTCCTTCGTTGGTGGCAACAGGAACAATCTATCCTCAGATGGGAGAATCCATTTGAAGTCCACTGGTTCAGCTTCCTCCCTCAACATTTCTCAAGCCTTGAATGCACCAGTAGCGTCTGAATCCAATTGAAATCCATACTGGGTAGTGTCATATCCATCAGGATACCACTTAGCAGGGCCGGGGAGAGAGACCTGGCCATCCTCAAAGTTCCACAATGCAAAGTTTCTCCAGACGGCCAATTCAAACTTTGTGAAGTAGAGGTGAGGGGGAGTCTTCTCATAGTATATTCTGTATGTGCGTTGTAGCTGATTACTATAATGATTACTATAGTGACTCTTACCCAGTCTCCTTATCAATTTCTGGAGGAAGGTTCTTGAGGAAGTCGGGGTCCATATTCACTTTGTTCATAAGCTTCAGAGTTGACTTGTATGCCGTCAACCATTTATGGTGCCAAATGGTGAAGGCAAGCTCCTCCACTCTCTGTGTCTATATTAGTAGTAGTCCCCTAATAGTGTAGCTGATCATACCTTGGTTGAGGCTTCAGTTTGGGTCTCCACTTCCAGCTGGACCTTCTCAATCTCATTGATCCCAATACCATTGGCCAATTCGTCGGCTCTCCACATAGCTTCCTGGGCAACTTCATCGGCCTCATCTTCAGTTCCCAAGCCTGGTTGTTGTCAACCCAAACCGCGTACGCTCCTCCACCTTCTCCAATCCCAAGGTGTTGTTGAACGATAGAAGCATGGTTACCATCCTGAATGCTGTTTCCTAGTTACTATAATGATTACTATAAAGTAGGAGAAGGGAGCTTACCGTCTGAGTCGCACTTCGTCCTTCTTGGATTGAATCATCTCTTCTTGTTCCACTGGGCCAAGGTCTTTGAAAGCTTGCATGTCCCAGAGTTTCTTGACAGCGTATGCAGTAGCTGCTATATCAGCCCTCTTGGTATTGTTGACCTTGAGTTCTTGATCTGTCATGTTGTTGCATCAGTTTTGCACTCGCTTGGTGTTCTGGTTGGTCGACTTCTCAGTCGGATCTTTGCGCTTTCCAACCATGGTGATTATTATAATGGTTACTATAAAGTAACCGTAAGTGGGAGGAAAGACTTACCTTGGTAGTAGTGGAAGGTAAACGGAAAAAGGCGACGGTGGTGGTAGAAGAAAGAAGTTCTGAGGTGGTGGCAGAACTTCAGAACTTCAGAACTTCAGAACTTCAGAACTTCAGAAATCACTTAACATGCCTATTACCATATAATGGGTGAAGCTCACGATATTTCGCTAACTGAACTTTATTTGGGTGGCAACACCTACCAAATAACAATAACCTCACTTTACCTCAATTCCTACTTTTACTTCTCCTCATACCTCTCTAACCCAACCATGTGATTTGCTGCTGGCTATTTGGTAAGCTCCCTTCTCTTACTCTATAGTAATCACTATAGTAACCAAGAAACAGTAGAATGGAGGATAACAGCTCAGAGTTCAACCTAGGCACAGACTCTACCGGTTCAAGTTCAAGTTCAAGTTCTCCACAATGTCTGCACACCCCCGATCCTTCCCCAATTTGCCGTGGTCACAATCTACAAGAACACCAACCTTTGCTCAACCGGAGACACCAATTCGCCAAAGCCAGAGACTTCAGCTCCAAGCCCCCCAACACACAACCAGAGAAGAGGAAGAAGAAGAAAGGCCCAATCCCTTCATTCTTTCCTAGTCAAAAGTTTGGTCCAAAAGAAGCACCCAAGATGCCTTCCGCTCAAAAAGCCCCACAGAAAGCACCCACAAACACTGCGGCCAATGCACCACTCAAGCCAAAGTGTCGCTGGAAGCCTGGAGGTAAGCTGATTACTATAATGATTACTATAGACCTTCCTACTAACCTAGAACAGTCGTTGCACTTCGTCAGATCAAGAGATACCAAAAATCGACGGAGCCCCTCATCCCACGTGCGCCTTTCATCCAACTTATCCGTGAAATCATGGTTGACCTCAAGGTGGATTTTTGACTCCAATCATCTGCAGTCTCTGCGCTACAGGAAGCAGCCGAGACGACACTGGTCAAGGAGTTCTGTAGTATATGGTGAAATTGTAGATATTTTCAAGCTACCTATCACGTGCCTCATACACGTGATCGTGGTCGGTCTGCCAGGAACGGTTTGGTCTGGAAATATTTCGAACCGACGGTCCCCCATGACGCACACTAGAATACAAACATACTACAGGAGGCTCTGACTCCATCTCAGTCACTGGCCCGTATTGCTATGCATTTCTCCGACGTTGAATTTGCGTGACTGTGAAGGTGTCTGAGATGTGTGAGGATGCCCTTCTAAATATCCCGGTAGAGCTCGCCCGATGCCCGAGCTCTTTCAGCCGACGGTGACAGTTGTCGCCTGATGCTGAGGGAAGTGCGGAGAATAAGCTCCAGGGTCCACAATTAACACACAGGGGTTCATATTGTGCGGGGAAATGCGTGGCACCAACTCCAAATGTGCGAAGAATTGTAACTGTTTTCCAAATATCCCACCCCGCAAAGCAACAACATCTACTTTGTATCTTCCCCTCAACTAATATGACTGACGAACACGTGCACTCGCAGCATGAGAGCAAGCTGCTGCCTATGCATGTCGAGATTCGTCAAGCAATATACGCTCAAATCTTCCACAGCCAGACTCACGCTTTTTTGTCGCAGGGCAGAATTCACCTGTCAGAATGCCTTCAGCCGAACTTAGGAGATGACCATCACGACGGCCGCGAGCGTAGAATTATAGCCGACTGGAGGCAGGAAGATCCTGGGTGGGCCCGCCGTCTGCGATCTACATGGGGGGTGCATTGGGAATGCAGGCTGCGTACACAGAGAGAACGGACTTGCACAAGCATCGCCGTTATCATATGTACGACCTTTTTTTTTGTGTGTAAGAAAATGTAAAAAACAATTTCTTTTATTCCTCCCCTAAGCTCGCTCCTTACTTGGTCGTTTCCCACTGATAGGGTTCTCGATGTCTGCGACTTTGTTGTTAAGAGAACAGCATCAACGTCACGATATAGACACCTTGGAAATGTGGCTATTGAAGCCAAATGGGCTAATTGGTGGGTTAAATTGCGCCTGGGTCTTCCGCGACTGCATAATTTCCAGTATTCGTAAGCTTAACATCGCCTTCCGACTCCCACTAGCCTTCTACGAAACACTACAGAAAGGTGAAGATGAAGACTTGGTTTCGGTAGCCGGTAATCGCACGAGAGCAGTATCAGTAGGATGTGCTGCGTAGGAGCGTCTCTGGCCGGCCATTGTCAACTGCCGCAACTTCGCAGCCTCCACGTTTGGTTAGACCACGACGATATACCTTCGTGGTCATTCGTCAACGAATGCGTAGCTCTGCGTCCAGTGATCGCTGCTCTATTAGCACGCAGGCAGGGTCGCTCTGAAGAGGAAACGATGCCGCACATGGATGTCGCGCTTAATCTTCCGAAGTTACATCCACGTTATGCGAAACCGGATACTCACTGCTTCCAAGAAAGTTCGTCGTCACTATTCACCATCGAGCGACGAATTCGCCAGCGTTGGCATTGCGAGGAAGGGGCTAGTGGTAACTTGAAAGTGGTATACAAGGCTGACTTTCCCGTCCTGCACGAGCTCCCGGATTTTATTAAGGAACAGGCCAGGTGGAGTCGAAGAGTCGACGGCGTGACGTTGCAAGAAGAAGACATAACGGAAGAAGAAGAAGACATGACATTGGAAGAAGTCGAGCGCGTTTACGAATTTATGGCGCCAGGGTCTTTCCACCATACTCAAGATGAAGACACGACTTACAGTTACAGCCGTAGATTTCCAGGCTATCAGTTCGTTGGTCCATAGTTTCCCCAAGTCCTAGAGGTATATAAATAAACCACTCTCTATGCATCCATAGAGTTCAACCACGATGGTCTTGCATACCTGTATATATATCCCTGTATGATACCCTCTAAATCAATATTGAGCCTCTCAAGACCTCCACGAACTAGACTTAACATCAGCCGAAAACAAAAGCAATGAGGTCTAAGCCCCCGAGTAAACACACGAGCTTCAGTGACGCTAGTGTACTGCCAATGACTGTGTTGTGTAGGGGTCTAATACTGGAGTGTGTTTGGCGTGGCGGCCTTGCGCTGTGTACGGAACACCCCAGTCCAAAACCAACTGTTCTTACATACATCTCAAAATCGCTGACCAGAAAATTGAGACCGTTAAACTAGTCTTTTCTATAATTTATTCGGCCCATAGATAGGGCAAATGCCCAATACAACTACTTCTGCCAGCAATAGCGCTGTTTTCGCACAGTATATTTCCAACAAGAGGGGTAGTAGCGACAGGACCAGCACGTCAGCGGAAAGAGCACAATGAACGTCGATATCGGTAAACTGTGCAAAGATTTGGCGTCTGGAACTGATGCAGGTGCGTTATATGACCTGCTTCGATGGGCGGGGAAACAGGAGATCATTGACCAGGTGCTGAACAATCAGCTCCTACAAACTTCTCCTGACAAGCTCCAGAGTGCTGCGAAAGAGCTTCAAGGCAAAGACATCCATGTGCTTCCATTCCGGCTGTTCAAGCTGTTCGACACCGTGGGCGATCGCCTTGGATATGAAGCTCCATACTTCTCTCGGCGCAAGGTCTTGCTTGTCTTTCTCTTAGTGCGTGGTTATGGAACGATCCGGAAGATATTACAACGCTCGAGGAGTGTATTTGGGCCCTATTGTGACGACTACACGTGGAGTTTGCCTTCACATATGCACGGGTCCACTTAACTATCGAAACCAACGTTGGTTACTCCAATACCAGCAAACGCCGCGTTGCCGCATTGAATCCGACCTTTTTGCCTGCGAGACTGGCTTAGCACTTGCGGAAATCTCTACTCTACTCGGTGATAAACTCAATCCTTTTCGAGCGGGCCCGATCAGAAGTCATGCGTCGCGTCATCGATAGCTACATGGAGAAAGGGACTATCCAGCATTGGGAAGTATTGGACAGTAACTGGTGTGCAGTTTGCGCTGGTAGCATCGGCGATATATTGCCGGATTCAGTGAAGATGGTGCCTGCACTGAGGGCCTCAATTACTGGACCTATGGAATAAGTTTTTTTGTCGTGTTTGCGGAGCTCCTCGGCAGGCGAACAGCTGGGAAGCGCGACCTGCTCTCTGATAAAAGATTTGCTCCTATCGCTTTATTTCAGCAAAATTGCTTCTTCCCAGGTGCTGCAACGCTCACTTTCTCAGACGTTGAAGCAAACGACAAATATCTACCAGGAGTGACATGTTTTTTGGCAGAGCATTTCGAAGAAGTGATGGCCCCGCCGTTAGAGAGCGCCATGGATGTAATGCACTCGCATTGTTACAATTTGCTCCTGCTCTAGGTGATCTTCTATGGACTACAAATACGCTTGTGTCAGACAGGCACAGCCTCAGCCCTGCGTGGTATACCCAAAGGCTCAGTGGCTGTTGTGCAGCGGCTACGATGGCACTGGGTCTGCGGCAAAAGCAGGCCATAACGATGAGGAACATAACCACAATGATGTTGGAAGCTTTCTATTTTGAAGACATGGCGTAATGCTCCTATGTGACATTGGTAAAGGTGAGTACACGAAGTCATACTTTGGCCCCGATCGCTACGATACCTTTTGAACACCTTCCAAAAGTCACAACATCCCCATTGTCGATGGGTCCAGCCAGCGCGACGGCAAAGAATATTGCGCTCGAAAAGTCGCTTTTGATCAGAACGGATCAATGTTGATGGATATTGCCCCTGCTTACGCCGTGAGCGGGTTGACATCGCTGGTGCGGCGCCTCTCGTTTGATAATAAGACAGGGCGCTTGAGTCTTACCGACGAAATCAAAGTTTCTCGGCCAATGGAAGTTGTTGAGAGATTTGTATCGCTTGTGCGGCCACGCATAGGAAATGGGGCTGTGATAATTGAGGAAGGTGCTACTAGTTGCACCCTTTTGACCAAGCCTCTCAAGATCCCCAGATTGGTATAACCGAGCATATCAACCATCAAGGAAAAAGCGCGGTTGTATATACCAGTGATTTCATCCTTTCCTTGGAAGAGAATGCGGTATTCGAACTTATCGTCTCATAAATTTCGCTTGGTTCAAGAGAGGGAGGGCATCTAGTCACAATATAACGACCTAGAAGACATAGGAATCATGAAACGTCGAGGTGTTATCCAGCAATTATATAAATTGCAGATTTAAATAGAGTACAAACAAATTCTATTAATCATTGGATTTCGTAGGCTTTGTTGGTACTTTCTCAGCCGTCAACAAATATCCCAATACTCTTCTAACAAGATCTTTCCGCGGCTCAGCTTGGTCATCGTTACTCAGCGCATGAGAAGCACCCGGTATCACTGCGCTATGGTCTCTATCCCATATTTGGTCTCGTCCATTATGGTTAACGGCATTCATCCACCTCACCAATAAGCCCTGTTTATCAACGTAAGCCGGAACCGCTTGGTCTGCTCCCGAGTATAAGACCATCAGCTTGTGATTTAACAGCCCGCGCTCTTTGATCATTCCAAAGGTCTTCGCTAACTGCTCATCGCCGATATCTGAACTGAAAAGGTCATCCTCCTCCGGTGCCAGCGGGCTTTGCGGGCTGTTGAGACTCAAGAATCTTCGGCTGCTTATTGGAACATTGGGTAGGTAGCCAATCTGACTGGTCAGAGATAAAGGTAACAGCGTATCGCAGGATGCTTCGCGGTCAGCTTCCTTGGCCATTGCTTCTAGCGTCTGGTATGCTGCTTCGACCTCGCTCGGCGTCTTGCCTCCGATCCCCATTTCCCTGCACAAGAGGATTGCTTCCCTGTCCGACACTGGTGCTTGCATGATCGCTCCGTCGATTTCCAGACGTTTGACATGCTCACACGAGGGATCAAAGGGTGCGATGCCTGTGTGGGGATTTGGACGATACAGGTAATGCATAACAAATTGGCTTCCGGAGGAATGGCCCATGAGGACGATTTTTCCATCGCCAAATTTGTCCGTCTTGTAGTCTTTGATATATTTTACGCATTGGGCGACCTCATTAGTGTCTCTGTCGAGATGTCCGAGACCCCATGCTTGGTAGGAGGATGTGAGATTTAAAGTGAAGAGCGACCAGTCCGTTGGTTGTAACGCGCGTACGATATCGGACATGTACGATGTAGTTGCGAGGCCATCTCCCAGGCCTCCAAGGAAGACAATGCTGTGAGGCTTATGAGTGACGCTTGCTGTATATTCGAAGGTAACAAGCGTCTCCGTCTATTTTGCATCTTGTTAGTTACCTCTACAGTTATGGATAGTCGAGGTGATGTGCAAACCGTACGTAATGGTGCAAAATGCCTGGAAGGCCTCCTTTGGGCCAGAATTTGGAACACATATTGGATTGAAGATTTCTATATGCAGATTTGGGGGGTCACTGAAGTCGAGAGAAGTCCTGACCGTAACCTGTGGGAACGTCATGCCCAGTATTGGCTTATGTGCCATCCCCCACTACCTTGGTGAATACTGTTACCAATCGAACTTAGTTCCGAGATCGGCTTTGTGCATCCGCAACAGGCATTGTTAGGTCTAGGAGCAATCCAAGCCGATGAAGTCTCTGATACGATACAGGAACGCAACCGACCCGACCTGAAATAGGGGTAGCTGAAAGACTCATAGGATCTGATTAGATTTTCTAGTCGCCCCACCACTAGTGGATCTGATTAGATTAGTGCTCGGAGAACTACCCAGTTTAGGCTAGATCAGATTCTCACCAGCTTAGTCTCGGTAAACTCTACCTATTCAGGATAGCGTAGGAGACCCTGCATCACGGAATCGGTACCGAGACCCTGCTAGGTACTTGTGATCAAAGTATATACTTCTTTCCATGTCACTGCCAAGATGGAACCTTGTTGCTTTACTTCCTCGGAATGTAAATGCTCCAGTTTAGCTTCGGCTCATGTAAAGATCTAACAATTGAAAAGATGCTCGTCCCTCCTGATATGAACCGCGCCAAGATTCCAGGACCAGAGAAACTGGACTGCCGTCACAATGGGATCTATACTCATCGATGAGATAGCAGGTCAAAACGAGGGGAAGAATGGTCCTATCGACATACTATCAAAAGGGGAGCCGGCAGATAGCAACGGCTTCAGATATTTCGAGGTTGCTGGCCTCGTATCTGATCAGTTGCTTTCCCTGACGGGCATGAAGGATGAAATATTGCTTTTATCATGGCTCATCGTGCTCCTTCGGACTCGCGAAGGCGGCCAGGCCAGTTTTGACTGGGCATATAAGAGCCCAGAAGATGGTTTTCAACATGAGCCAGAGACTAGGAGTCTGTCAACAGAAGAAGTAGTGACAGGATTACAAAGTAATATCACGGACACCGCCACAGTAGTCTCTCGCTTTATCACAGCTGCGGAACCCAGTCAGCGTACACCCAAGTCCAGCCCTGGGTCGCTCCTCTTAAGCACCAGTTCACTATCCAAAACTTCCGAAGGAGCCAAAGATGAAGTAAGTGGATGTCCTACCTTGGTTACCATGTAAATTGGCTAACTGTGAGAAAAGGGCGTATTTCACCTCGAGCTACGCCTTAATAATAGTATTCTCGAGATCCGTCCAGTCTGGCAAATCAAAAATATGCCAGAATACAACGTGACGCGACACATCGAGTCACTGATTGAAACTGTCAAAATGTGCATTTCGAATCCGGATGCGTCCGTGGAAGAATGTCTTCGGCCGACCACGCGTGATATAGATCATATATGGGGCTGGAATCACCTCCTACCTCCCACCTGCGGCTTCTGCATGCACGACATGATAGCCGAACGATCTCAAGGATTGTTAGAAAAAGTGGCAATCTCATCATGGGATGGAGACTTGATGTACGGCCAAATCGAACGATATTCCACGCTCGTAGCAGGCTCGCTTCAAGAAATGGGCGTTAAATTGCATGATGTCCTACCAGTGTGTTTTGAGAAGTCAAAGTGGACAATTGTAGCCGTGCTTGCGGTGATGAAAGCTGGGGCAACCTTCGTGCTTATGGACCCAACACTTCCGCTTGCCCGCCTCCAAAATATGGCGGAACAGGTGGGTGCAAATATAATGGTGGCGTCGCACAACCAGCATGATCTGTCGACATCAATCGTGCCAAATGGCAAGCTCCTCATCGTGGAACCGGACACATTCTCCTCGACAGATTTACAAGAACTTCCAAAGCTAGCAGCTGTCCCGTCATCTGCTCTAATGTACATAATATTTACTTCTGGAAGCACGGGCGTACCGAAAGGAGTTACCATTTCCCACGAAACATATACCAGCAGTGCCATTCCTCGAGCAAAGGCGGTTGGCTATACAGAGAACTCCAGGGTTCTCGATTTTGCGTCGTACGCTTTCGATGTCAGTATCGACAGCATGCTTTTAACTCTGGGCAACGGCGGTTGCCTTTGCATTCCTTCCGATGAAGACAGAGTTAATGACATAAACGGAGCAATGCGAAATATGCAGGTCAATTACGCCGGCCTAACCCCTTCTGTGGCCCGCATATTAGATGATGATGTTATAGCATCCCTTAGCGGCCTTGGTCTCGGTGGAGAGGCTGCCTCGGCGAGAGACGTTAATCTCTGGGGGGAAGTCACCAGGATTATTATCGGTTACGGGCCCTGCGAATGTACAATCGGATGCACAGTGAACAGCAGCGCTGCCACAGGAAGGGACTATATCTCCATTGGGCCAGGGAATGGAGCCGCCATCTGGATCACCAACCCAGACGACCACGAAACACTAATGCCAGTCGGTGCCGTAGGCGAGTTGCTTGTCGAGGGTCCTATTGTAGGACAAGGATACTTGAATGACCCCAACAAGACTGCAGAGGTCTTCATTAACGACCCAAAATGGCTAGTCGCAGGACACAACGGCTACGCTGGCCGTCAGGGCCGTCTATACAAGACTGGAGATCTTGGAAAATACGACCCCGATGGTTCCGGGGGCATTGTCTTTGTTGGAAGGAAGGACACCCAGGTCAAACTGCGTGGACAGCGTGTTGAGCTCGGGGAGATCGAAAGTCAGTTGAGGGTCAGACTCCCTTCGGACACCACCGTTGTTGCCGAGGTGATTGTGCCTACGGGTGGGGGCCAACCTACTTTGGTTGCATTTATCACCTCCAAGTCCATGAAGGGCGAGGATACCGATTTAACGTCACCACAACTTCCCAGCGAGCTGCGCGAAACACTCTCAGTAGCTGATGTGGATATAGCAAAGGTTTTACCGCGGTATATGGTGCCAAACGCATATATACCAGTCAATTATATTCCAGCTTTAATCTCAGGCAAGACCGATCGCAAACGGCTCCGTCAGTTTGGCGCCACCGTAGATCTCCGGGATTTGGATAAAGACACACCTAGCACTGCTCCTAGAGAGATGACTGAAACTGAGAAGCGTCTGAGGAATTTCTGGAGCGAGATATTGAAACTTGACGAAGAATCTATTGGACCAAGTGCTAATTTCTTCGCGCTTGGTGGTGACTCCTTAACAGCAATGAGGCTCGTGTCTGTCTGTAGAGCACAGAATTTCGAACTTACTGTCGCCAGCATCTTTGGCCACCCCACACTCTCGGCTATGGCTGGCGTTGTTCTCGTTTCTAACGTGCAAGCGCTGGCAGAAACGTCACCATTTTCTATGATTTCTACACCTGCCGAAAGCGCTTGCCTCGAAGCATCACACGCCTGTGGATCAACTCAGGAAGCAGTTGAAGACATATATCCTTGCACACCCACGCAGGAGTCACTGTTTACCTTCTCGCTCAAATCTACCAAGGCGTACGTAGCTCAGAGAGTTGCATGTATTCCATCGCACATTGATCTCGATGCCTGGAGAAAAGCATGGGAAGAGGTCATCGCAGCAAGCCCTATTTTACGCACCCGTGTCGCTCAGCTCCAAGAACCCGGCCTTCAGCAAGTTATCCTTAACGAAAGCATCTCCTGGAAATATTCGTCTAACCAAGAGCAATACCTCGAGGATGATAAGGCTGAGAGGATGAATCTAGGCGAAAGCTTAGCTCGATATGCTATTATCAGCTCCCCAAACGATGACAAGCGATCTATGGTCTGGACAGTCCATCACGTACTCTACGATGGGTGGTCAGAGCCATTGATCCTCGAAAAGGTCTCCAACGCCTTGAAAGACCAGCACACCAAGACTAAAACAAAAATGCAAGACTTCGTTAAATTTGTGCGGGACACAAATGAGATCGCCATGCAGGAGTTCTGGCGCCAAGAGTTGAAGGGTGCCGTCGGACCCCAGTTTCCCCGTCTGCCATCTAGAGACTACTTGCCAACTCCAGATTCCATTATTGAGCACCTTATACCCCTTGAAAAACTCAGCGGGTCGCCATTCACACTTGCAACACTGATTCGTGGCGCTTGGGCGCTCGTATCGTCGCAGTACACAGGCAGCGACGATGTTGTATTCGGCGAGACGCTCATGGGTCGAGACATTCCGTTGCAGGAGGTTGAAAGTATCATAGGCCCATTGATTGCCACGGTGCCTGTTCGCATACAATTTGACCGCATGAGCTCAGTCGAATCTTATCTAAATGCTGTGCAGCAAGGCATACTGGCCCGTACACCATACCAGCATATGGGGATGCAAAATATCAGAAAGGTTAGCCGCGATGCTCAGCATGCATGTGAAGCCAGTACAGGCTTGGTAATCCAGCCAGAGCCAGTGTATGTGGATGGCGATCTTGGCTTCAGCCAAGGAGACGCCGTGCGAGAAGCCCTCCATTTCAACCCCTATCCGCTCATGCTAGCTTGTGGGATCCAAAAGGCCGGCTTCAGGGTCTGCGCCAGTTTCGACAGCAGCCTGATCGAGATTAAGCAAATGGAGCGAATCCTTGCGCAGTTAGAAATGGCGTGTTTGCAGTTGACGAAAAATCCGTCCCGGAGAATCAACGAGATATCTTGCGTTCCAGAGGTGGAATTGGACCAGATCTGGCGCTGGAATCAAACTCCCCCATTGGCCTTGGATGAGTCTTCAAGGCTTCGAGCAGGTGCAAGTACCAAGCAGGGGGCGATCTATCCTCGCGCGTTGATACCTTGGGTGTGTGATCCGCGAAACTCATCTTTATTGTCTCCCATCGGCTGTACTGGCGAGCTCTGGCTTGAGGGGGCTTCCCTTTCCGGTGAAACTGTTGAGTCTCCTCCTTGGCTCAAGGCAGGCAGCTCTACATGTGTCGGTCGCGGGGGACGAGCACAGGCGACAGGCGACATGGTTCAGTTGCAACAAGATAACACCTTAGTATTTGTTGGTCGAAAGGAGAATGTCGTGTCATTCCAGGGGCATACAGTGGATATTGGAGATCTTGAAGGTCACTTCACAAGACTTCTCCCACCAACTATTCATGCTGCTGCGGCCCTCTTCCAATCATCAGATACTACCCAACAGGTTCCAGACCAAGAACTAGTCATCTTCATAGAACAGCAGCCTTCTGAGGGAGACACTGTTGAGCTCATGTCAGTGCCGCACAATATAACTTCCGACTCATCTGATCCACAAAGCTTCAAGACGGCCATATGTGCCACTATTCCCCTCAGTCTTGTAGTAGCACTGAAGAAGCTCGACAAATTCATCCAAGACTCCCTCACATCATACATGGTCCCATCTGCATACGTCGTAGTTGACAAACTGCCTGCGGAGTCAAACGAAATTAACCATGGTGTGCTCAACAAGCTCGCCTCCACGATTCCACGGCACGTACTCACTCAGATCCACGAAAGAATCGAGGAGGCATGGACCAAAACCTCCGCGAAAGCCAACTTGACACCTGCGGAAGATATTCTGCGGTCTTCCTGGGCGACGATTCTTGGAATCAGCCCGGAGAAGATAGACGTCGACGACAACTTCTTCCGTATCGGAGGTGACTCTGTCTACGCCATGAAATTAGTATCACGTCTCCGCACCCTGGGACACAGTTTAACTGTCGCCGATATATTCCGGCACATGCGTCTTGGTGATGCCGCCAAAGTGATGAAAATAGGTGAAGCCCCGAAACCGAAGGTCCAGCCCTACAGGCGCTTTTCGACGCTGGGCAATTTGGACCAGGACCTATTCCTGTCGACGATTGTTCGGCCGCAGCTTGTCGATCCGCGTTGTTCTATTCAAGATGTATGCACGGTGACGGATTCACAAGCACTTGATATCAGAGGAACGCTCCGAGTACCGCGGACGTCGATGCAATATACCATGTTATACTTTGATAGCGGCATCGATCGCGAGAAGTTGTTCGACGCCTGCAAGAAGCTAGTCAAGACCCACGATATCCTACGCACCGTCTTCATCGAGCACGAATCAACCTTTTATCAAGTCGTCTTAGATGAGTTCGATTCCCCTGTAACGACGCATAAGGCGGATGGCGATCTTAAGCAATACGTTGCTGACCTCTGTAATACGCACATAGAAGGAGACTTCCGCCTCGGATCATCTTTCTTCAAGCTGCTACACGTCGAAGGCAATGACGGCCAAGAGTGCCTCATCATCGGCCTCTCTCACGCTCAATACGACGGCATGTCTTTGCCCCGCCTGCTCCAAGACCTGGAAACCTTATACACGAGCGCAAAAATCGTCGACTTCGAACCATTCTCCTCATACATGACACTAGTTTCCAACGATCGTGCCCACACCAGTGCCCACACGTACTGGCGCAATCTCCTAAACGCCTCCACCCTCTCCATCCTCCCCGGACTCTCTACCCAACCCACGGACAAAGCAACCTTCCAAACCCACCCCGTCCTCGCCTTCACCCCCCTGCAAGACATCACCACGGCCACCCTCCTCTCTGCCGCCTGGGCCCTCCTCCTCGCCCGCCGTCTCCGCACCACAGACGTAACATTCGCCAGCGTCACCTCAGGCCGCACCAACGACCTCCCCAACATCGAGAACGTCATGGGACCCTGCTACCAGCTCACGCCCCTCCGCGTCGCCTTCTCGCGGGAGTGGACGGCCCTCGACTTACTCCGCTTCATCCAGAACCAGAGTGCTGAGTCAGCTGCCCATGACTACGTTGGGTTCAGCGCGATAAAGGAGAAGTGCACGCAGTGGTCGAAGGAGGCGGGAGTGGATTCGATTGTCCATCATCAGGATTTTGAGGACTTCGATACGATGCCGTTTGCTGGTGGGGAGTGTAAGGTGGATATTTTGAATCCGCACGGGGATGCGGCGGCGCCTTTCAAGGCCGTCTCGTTCATCAAGGGTGGGGTGTTGCATGTTGGGGTTGTGGGGAGTGAGAGGGATGCTGTGTTTATGGATGAGGTGCTGAAGGAGCTGGCTGCGGCTGTTGAGGAACTTTCGGTTCGGCAGTCGGAGTTGTTGGTGCTTGATGGGATGTTTGAATCGGCAGAACAGTTGTGTCCAGTCTAGATACCGGACTAAATAGATTGATCATATAGCGTTAGCCAGCATTTTGTATATAGTTATTATCTCCTTAGTATCAGCTAAACCAATAAACATCAAATGTGCTCATTATCCACTAACTACGAACCAATACCCCGAAGCCTATGTTATTGCTGTGGGAGTTTGTGATAAATGGAGGTCACACTCGCTCCTGCCGCCCTATTCTTTCTGCCGTGATGTGTCGCTCCTTCCATCCCATATCCCATCTCGGCTGACATCGCCCCTTCCATTTATTCACAGTTACCATCTCCCTTCGCTCTTTCCTATCCATTGCCAACTACCTTCCGTCATCGTTTCAACCACAAGGTCTATCGCGCTTTCCCCGTTCTCCTTGGGCAGTGTAGGCGAGACCACACTTAGCTGTCTCCTTGAGTGTATGCTACTAGTATGGAGAGAAGACTTTAAAAAATGGGATCGTTTTAAATGAATTATATTATAAACAAAATATCTGCGACGATATACCACCAATCTTAGTATCTCCAACAATTTTTATCCCCCACACACCACTTCCAAGCCAACGGCTGAATCGCGCACACTTATAAGACGGTACCCTTAACCTGCGCCACCTTGGCAATATTAATATTCCTAATCAGCAAGAGAGAAATTAACGCAAGACATATGATCCCCGTCCCCGCCGCCAACATCCTCGTCTGCGCATACCCATATGACTCCTGGATCGCCAGTCTCGTCGGGCTACCGACCTCATAACTCAACTGCGTCTCAAGATCCTCGTAAATAGTCCGCAGATCGGGCAGCGCGGACGTAGGCAGATTCCTCTCTAGCGCCTTCTCGAAGGTGTTCGTCCAGATGGCGCCAGAGATGGTGGAGCCCATGGCGTTGCCAATGGTACCAGCGACGTTGAGGAGGGCGAGGACTGCGGCGACGTGCTGATGGTCGACGGCAGCCAGGATGGCGACCTGGCTGATGAGGATGAAGATGCTGCCGCCGATCGAGATGAAGACCTGGCACATGACGAGGTAGCCGACTGATTGGTTAGGGCGGCGGAAGTAGATCATCAGGCCCTGTGAGAATATGTACAGCGGGACCGCGATGTAGAGGAGCCACTTATAGTAACCCGTCCGGCGAATCATGTAGCCGACAAGCAGGAGGAGCATGCCGGACACGACGTCGAAGGTGTTACTAATATATCCGGCCTGGGCGATGGTCACATTGTTGACAGCTTGCAGGAAGGAAGTGAAGAAGTTGGCCCAACAGTAATAGGAGATCTGGTATGTGATGCTCAATATACACGCGCCGATGACGGTTCGATCGGTGAGAAAGCTGAAGTTGAGCATGGGTGTCGGAGCCAGGTACACCTCGAAAAAGCCAAAGGAGGCGAGTGCGACAAATCCTATGACTAGCATGGCAATGATATAGCCCGAGGACCAGCCGTTGGGAGCGCTGTCGGCGATGGTGAAAGGTAGCAAAAACACGGTGAGGCCAACAGAGAACAGGAGGACTCCACATGCTATCGAAGGTCAGTATTTTGCAATGTCTCGTTCTTAAAAGGCTGTGTTACCCACCATCAAACTCAATGGCGTAATACCAGATATTTTGCAATAATGTCCGGCCGCTGTTGTCGGTGACCACGAGGCCTCGTTTCTCGGCTTTCTTGAGGTTGACCTTCAAGAGAATGTATAGAGGGGCAGCGACGATGGGGAAGATGATTGCGAAGCAGCCGAAACCCCATCGCCAGCTGATGTTGTAATAGAAATCCTCCGATGCTTTCGCTCCCGCGAATGCCGTAATCATATACGGCGAGGACGTGAAGGCGTATGCCAATCCTCGATTCTTCAGTTTGGACGCGTCGGCCGTGATGACGTCCACGCAGTAAGTCATACCTCCGAAGCCAATGCTGTAAAATACCTAGCATCCAACCGTTTAGCATCAACAGAATATTCCACGTGTTGCCACGGACAGGGAAATAACCTCACATATGCGGCGCAGAAGGTGGGAAGGTTATGGCACGTAGCCATAAGAACCAATCCCAGCGTGGAGAAAGTTGCCATGACAAGGAAGCCTTCAGCACGACCCCAGACATCGAGAACCTTTGACAATGGAATATACATCGCGGCCGACATGGCGCTTGCGACAATGTAAATGACATTCAGCAGCGAATGCGATTCAAATTCGCTCGTAACATAGGGAAGCAAGTTAGAGAGAATCGAGGATTGGAATGCGTTGACGAAGTAAAGTAACCAGATGCTGTTGACGCGCACTGTTAGACAGGCCTTGCCAGAGACAGTCAGCGGTATGAATAGCAACGTACTTGACGAAGACTACGACCAGCGTCGTCTTTGTCCAGGTCAGCGTCACGGCCTCTACATCGTGGACGCCGCGTTGTGCATCTTGAGCGGGACGTTGGTCCTGCTCCTTATCATTGCTGTCGGTTCCAGTTGTGCCAATGGCCGGATCTTCTCTGTTTTTCTCATTGCCTTCACTGATAGGATCTTGTCTGACTGCATCTTTCTTTTCATCAACCATCTCGACGGGGACGGAAGCGACTCCATCATCGGTCGCCCGACGACCGAAGACAGACTGGATCTTGGGAAATAATGCCATTGTTGATGGCTTTGGAAAGAAGCAAGACGACAGCGTGCCAAGAACTCGAAAAGGATAAATACAATGGAAATCCCTACGCTTATAGCTATATCTTCTAGCGCATGCAGATTCATATAGTGATAAGATTGATTTGCCCCCGAGGTCGGCTCATTATTGCCAAGAAGCTGGTGTGTGCCAAGTATTGACAGGGACTCTGGGCTCTTTCTTAATGGTCGTCTGCGTCACTGCCTAGGGTTCTCGGTATCTGTAGTCTCTACCGCCCGTACGAGTATCTAACCCACGCACGTATAGCAGCCCCTCTAACCCACGCACGTAGCCCCTCTAACCCCACGGACACTCCACCATCACATGCAGAGGGGAGGCAGGACGGACACTTGCCGATTATCAAATCTAATCAGATGGCGTGATAAATATTGTGGCCGCTCGACATCTCGTGGGTCTGGGGGGAGATTCTAAACCGCAGAGAAAGTAGAAAGTACAGCATCGTGAGTACCAGAACTACAAGTATAGGAGTACTCTATGGAAGGAGCGAGCTAATAGCTAGCCCATGCTACTTGGCAGGATTATCACTTGGGCCGAAGCGAGGGCCAAGACACCGGAGCAGTACTCCACTAACATGTACCCAGCTATGAGGGTTAATCGCTCATGCAGGATCTGATAAGATAAGAATTTTTCACATGGGTTTCGCTTGGAGGAAACCGGGACGGGACAATTTGGGACGATTGGGGGAAGCGAGTACAGTCCTACGAGTACTCAACTGGTTGGTACCGACTAGTGGCGGTTAGTTACGCCCTAAGCAGGGATAATCACACTAGTACCATCTGATAAGATGACCCCTGACGCCACCATGTTAACGACGACAAGGGAGCAGTCGAGTTGCATCCAACAAGACGCAAAGACGCAGACTCCACAAGGGAAAACAACTGGGCCCGTTTCAATAGTTTAGATTAATTTGTAGTTCCTTCCTCTATCCCGAGGTTTATCCTATGCCCTACATTGCATTTCAGCCGCTATCCCTTCTCACAGCTTCGAGTCCGTCCACTTAGGTTGTCGCTTCTCCACAAACGCCTGGATGCCCTCTGCGAAGTTGGCGCCCTTCACCAGGTGGGGGTACCAGTCATCCGCCAGCGTCGTCACCGTCTCCTCCACGCTCCCTGCCTCCCAGCTCATCCGCACTCCAAGGCGCCCAACTATCAACGCATCCGGGCTATTCTTGCACATCTCCTGCGCCACCTGAACTGCTGCCCGGGCAACATCGGATCCAGCATCCACCAGACGCGTAACAAGGCCCCATTCATACATCGTCGCGGCGCTCACGCTCCTGCCCGTCAGGACGAGATCCATGGTTCGCTGAAGGCCAAGGGTTCGTGTCAGCCGCGGCAGACAGCCAGCCACAGGGACGATTCCACGCTTTGCCTCGGGCAGGGAGAAGATCGCCGAGGAGGATGCAATGACGAGGTCGCAGTTAGCCACCATCTCGAGGCCCCCGCCCATGCATATCCCGTTCACTGCTGCGATGATCGGCTTCTTGCCACTCCGGCGGGGCAAGCCAGCGAGACCTGGTGCGGCCATGTCGTTGACCACCCCGGCCTTGTTCATGGCGTTCCATTCTGCGCGCGTCAGTGGCCAGTTCTCTGCAACGGAAATTTCCATGTGCCACAGAAAATTACAAGCTTACCTTGTAGATCGGCCCCAGTGCAGAAAGCCCTCTCGGTGCCAGTGATAATGCCAACCCACAAGCTCTCATCTTGGTCGAACAGCTCCCAGATCTTTTGGATTTCCCGGCTCGTAGGTAGGTCGATGCAGTTCAGCTTGTCGGGCCTGTTTAATGTGACCTGCACAATCTTGTCATCCGGGAACGACACATTAAAGTGCTTGAAATTCAGGGATCTTGACCGGAGAGACATCTCAGGAGTGGATTCGAACGGGGGTGGTTTGTCAGCCAATCGATGGGAGGAAAACGTCTCAACGGTATTGTGTAATCTGACCAGCCTCTCCCATTGACTTTATACTTTGCAAGCTGGTTCGTGCTGCCGGCAAGCCTGCCGCCGGCATTCCTAGTGCATCCGCTTGCGCGAGGTCTGAGGAAACTAGGGTATATACTACGTTGGTAACGGTAGGGATGCGGAGTAACAGATGCCGGCGGACTCTCTCAAATATGTGGCCTTGTCCTCCGTCGGCTTTTCTGGGTCCCTATCTACAGTAACTTTGATCTTCCGTTGATACTCTTCCCAGTCCAGCACGTTTTGCGTCGTTACGTTGTTGATAAAACCGCAACCAAGATGGCATCCAGCTCAACACCACGCAGATATCCTCTGGTAAAACTGCCACACCCCTTTCTCACCGAATACAGAGTGCAGACTGTCGCCGAAACTACGCCCGCTAAACTCACCTTAGCACCCCTTGGCCAGCCTCCAGCAGGATGCCCACTTGCACAACCTCTTCACAATGACACTCTCTCGTGGATGGAACTATCATTAGCACCTAAAGATGACCGTCCCCCGACCTCAAATAACAGCGCATGGGCACGCGCGCGCCGAAGCCCCCAAACCACCTTCCACTGGACAGGCAACGGCACTCCATCTCTGGGCCAGATCTGGAACATAATCCACGCCATCTACACAGCTCACCCAACACATGAGTACTTCCGCGTCACCCTTGTCGGCACCGGCAACGACATCATTCGCGCCGAACTCCTCACAACTGGTCTCGGAATCGAGCACCCTGCCCAATGGCACCCGAAGTTCAAGACCACCACCCGCCCCGACGACTTTCTCATTCTCCGCAGCGCATTCTGGCAGGGTGCTGCATCACCTGCTGGCCCGCGTCCCATCTGGGCAGTGGGAGATGGCACAGACGGACCCCTCCGCGAGCCATTGGCCCAGTACCCCATCATGCCCGAGAACTACGAGGTCACGATGAAATTCCCCGACGAGCCAGTCTACACCCGCCACCCCACACGCCGCCCCAAGCCGCACCCAGGATCCATCGTCTACAGTCGCTACATCCCCGAGATCGCAGAGCACTTCTCCCTCGAAGTCGTCAACTACGAAGACACAACCCACCTCGCGCTCTTCAACAAATGGCAGAACGACCCGCGCGTCGCGCAGGGCTGGAACGAGACAGGCACACTGGACGAGCACAGGAATTACCTCCGCAAACTCCACAATGATCCCCACGTCCTCTGCCTCTTCGGTCGCTTTGATAACACCCGCTTTGCATATTTCGAGCTCTATTGGTCAAAAGAAGACCAGTACGGTGCCCACTACGACGCCGCGCCCTACGACCGCGGTCGCCACTCCCTCGTCGGCGACGACTCCTTCCGCGGCGCCCAGCGCGTCAACGCCTGGTACTCCTCGTGCATCCACTACTGCTTCCTCGACGACGTGCGGTGCGGGAATGTGGTCGGCGAGCCGAAGGCGACGGGGGGGACGATTCTGAGCTATGAGAATGCGCAGGGGCTGACGATTGGGAAGTATGTGGATCTGGGACATAAGAGGAGTGTGCACTCGGTTTGTAGTCGTGAGAAGTGGTTTCAGCTTTGTCCGATCTTTTGGGATGGGAGGGAGAGGCCGTTGGAGAGTGCGGATCGGGCGGCGTGGAATGCGAAGCTTTAGGGGGGGTTAAATTGTCGATGATAGAGGGGGGACAGCAGAGGGGTTCAAAAGCAAGTAAAGGAAACTATAGGGGGGTGAATGTGCCATGGGGATTGGTGTTCCGGTGGACATTATTTTACGGTTGGCTATTTGTGGTTTATTTCTTGGATCAACTGGCAATAGACCGGGACTCCCCAAGTTGGATATAAAATCTAAACTGTCTCAAGAGACAGGCTTCGCGCTCATCCATCATCTATCCTCCCCGTATTTTTGAAGCAACTATTTCAAAATGATTGTCAGATACCCTCCAACCACCCGATCTTCGCTGCGACCACTTTCCGCCATACCCGTACCCCCAACCTCACGCACAGCACATGCAAATGCAACCATCACGTCCATCCCACGCACCCATCCATCCACTCCCGGATATTTTAAGCGACACCCATCCCACCCAACGCCCCACTGTAACTTAGGCTAAACGGATCTGATAACTTTCTTTGGGGCCTCCTCCCCCCCACTCTCCACTGCCCAGCCGGTTATTCGGCCCGATTTGTTACTTATAAGATCATCTGATTAGATTGGGTTCTCACATCAGATCAGTTGCCTTAGCGCATCTTGGCGCGGGATAGGGGCAAAGAAAGCTTGTGAGGAAGGAACGATGGGTGGGTGGGTGGTGCTTTCCCAAGTTTTTATTTCTTGGCTAACGTCGTTCCTTCCCCTATTTTCGGTTTTGGGGTCGCCATCGCTCCTTTCCCTTCCTTCAATACTCGTAAGGGTTCTGGGTTCTTAGCTTGGCCATGGCTATTACGTATATTCAACATGTCGTGTCGCGAATTACTGCAAGTAGTGCATGGCTTCGTGGTACATGCATTGCTTGTACCGTAGCATTGGTTGATCCACGGGGTCCACCAGTACATGGCAGCAATGTTACGACCTATCCAAGGGTGTATTCTTTGAGAATACGTCCAATGGGTTGTACAGCAAAGAGGATAAAAGAGTGGGATACCGATGTCGGTATTACCCTGGCCTGTGCCCAAGAGTTTTGTTATCACTCCATGCATCTCTGCTCATACACTCTGTGACAAGGTTGCATGCTGCGCCAACTTGGAGTCGCAATGAAGACCATCAAGAAGCTTGCAGGCTATCACCAGCTGCTTCTAGCTGGGAATCCTACGAAACTCGATATTGGCACTCTTCTACTAGGCATAGTCGCTGCAATCGCATCCGGTGTTCCTTTTCCACTAATCGGAATCGTCTTCGGCCAGCTCTTGGACGATTTCAATGCCGTCACGTGTGATGCTGTCCATACGACAGACTCGGGCCCAGAATACCAAGCCAGCATCAACAGCAAAATCCTCCTCATCGTGTACCTGGCTATCGCTCAGTTCGTCACTATCTATGTCCACCTAACATGCTGGACTCTGAACGGCGCTCGCCTGGCCCAGAGGCTGCGGGAACGATATCTCCAGAACTTGCTCCGACAGGAACCGTCATACTTTGATAAGCTGCCTCCGGGAGAAATTGCCTCGAGACTCAATGGCGATATCCAGGCCATCCGCTCGGGCACATCTGAGAAGGTGGGAATATGCCTCTCCAGCTTGTCGTTCTTCATCACGGCATACATTGTGGCATTCATCAAGGACTACCTCCTCGCGGCAATGCTCGTCTCGTTGGTCCCTGCCTTCTTCATAATGTCGTTTGTGGGAGGATATTGTATCGAGAAGTACTCTGGCCTTATGTCTGATTATGCCGCTACCGCCGCGTCCATTGCTTCGGAGGCGCTCTCCAACATTCTCGTTGTTCAGGCCTTTGGCGCGAACGTGAGGTTGGAGGATAAATTCTCGGACTCGCTCAAGGCGTCAGAGCAACAGGGCTTGAAGAAGGCTACTGCTGTTGGCATACAATCTGGTGTCTTATACTTTATTGCGTATTCGGCGAATGGTCTAGCGTTTTGGCAGGGGAGCAAACGTATTGCTATAGCTGCACATTCAGACTCTCCTACCACCACTGTGGGTGCTACGTTTACAGTCATTTTTATTCTGATTGAAGGTGAGTCGACTCCAATCCTACCACAGACGTATTTTAACGTAATTAATAGCTACATTGCTCCTGAGTCAGGTTGCGCCCTTCCTCCATCTATTCTCGGCTGCCGTTGCCTCCTATCAGAAGATGCGCGAGGATATTAATCGCGAGTCGCTCATTGATGGCACCGGTGGTTCAGGCCTGTGCCTCACGCAAGCAGAGGGTGGCTTTGAATTTAAGAATGTGTCATTCACGTACCCCTCAAGGCCAGATATCACCGTCCTGGATCAGATTAATATATCCATGCCCGCCAATAAACATACCGCCATTGTCGGCCTGTCTGGAAGCGGAAAGTCGACTGTCGCAGGTCTTATCACAAGATTATATGATCCCATAGCGGGACAGATCCTCTTTGATGGCCACGATCTTTGTGATCTGAATGTCCGGAACTCGAGAAGTTTCCTCGGCTTGGTGCAGCAGGAGCCTTCTCTACTCAACCGCTCGCTCTTGGAGAACATTGCACATGGATTGATCAACTCCAGCAACCCTGATCATACATCTCTAAAGACGGCACTTCTGGGTCCCGAACTCGCGGACCTAGCAGCCGGTCTCAGGGAGGGCGAAGACCTTACGGCTGCAGCAGAGAAGCGAGGCGCGGAAGTGGTCAAAATTGTTACTCTCGTCCGAGAGGCTGCGGTGCTTGCAGATGCGGACACCTTCATCACTGCGTTGCAACATGGATACGGAACTACCGTGGGTTCGAGCGGTCGCCTCATTAGTGGTGGGCAGAAACAACGAATTGCCCTTGCCCGCGCCGTTGTCAAGAACCCCGCGGTCCTCATCTTAGACGAAGCCACCTCGTCTCTGGACTCGCGGAGCGAACAGCGTATCCAGCGTGCTATCGCAAATATTGCTAGCGGCAGGACTGTTATCACCATTGCGCATCGTCTGTCGACTATCACTGGCGCGGACAATATTGTGGTCATGGACAAAGGGCGCATTTCGGAGCAGGGAAACCATGCGACCTTGATGGCTAATAATGGGCCGTACGCTAATCTAGTCAATCTACAAACTCTCGGATCCGCATCTAGCAAGATTGGAAGAACGGCAAGCTTGGACAGCGCCAAGACTCTTCAAGACTCTGTGACAGAGGTTGATATCGCGAAAGAAGCTCTGGCAAAGGAGGTTTCGAATGCCGAGGACACTCCAGCCATGGGCACCGCAGAAGAACAAGAGCCTGAGACGCCATCCAAAAGTCTGGGAGTCCTCATCCGAGGGTACTCCCCGGCATTGAGACCTCACTTGCTCGTACTCGTTATGGCTCTTTTCGGCTCCATCATTGTCGGCGGAGCCTTCTCTGGCGAAGCTGTCATTTTCGGAAATACAGTGGGCAGTCTGAACCCCTGTAATAGCGCGGATAGCATTCGGTCTCGCGGTAATTTCTACGGCCTTATGTTCTTCGTTCTCGCTATCATTGAGTTCTTTGCGAACTTGGTTAGTTGGTCTGCATTCGGATGGGTTTCGGAGAAAATTGTCTACTCGGTGAGGGTCTTGTCGTTCCGGTCGCTATTTGAGCAGGATCTCCAGTGGCATCAGTCGAAAGGCCGAACCCCAGCGTCGTTGCTCTCTTATATCACTAGAGATGGCAGTGCCTTGGCTGGATTGAGCGGCTCAGTTATTGGCACTTTGTTCTCTATCACAGTCAACCTCATCGCGGCAATCATTTTAACTCACATCATTGCCTGGAGAATCGCATTGGTATGCCTGTCATTGGTACCTCTTCTACTTGGAGCTGGTGTCATGGAGCTCCGAGTCCTCGGTCAATTCGAGGAACGCCATGAGAATGCGTATACCCAGTCCGTTGATATTGGCGTTGAAGCTATCACGTCTATTAAGACAATCGCGGCCCTGTCGCTCGAAGAGGAGACGCTGAACATCTACCGCCGATCCTTGAAGGGGCCTCGCAAGGAGACTCTCAAGGTCACTGTGCAAGCAAGTCTCTGCCAGGCAATAACCTACTTCCTTGGAAATCTTGTGAATGCGCTGGCGTATTGGTGGGGAGCAAAGCAGATCATTGCGGGCAACTACACGCAAACGCAATTCTTGATTGTTGTCTTCTCCCTTCTCGTCAGCGCGCTATTATGGAGTCAGATGTTCGCTCTCGCGCCAGAGATTTCTAGCGCCAGAGCGGCCATGGCGAGAATCCTGGGCCTGATCGAGGAGGGATCGGACGGAATGCAGGGGCGCATAACTCCTAGAAATGTCCTTGCTGAGACCTCCGAGAAGGATCTCGAAGGGACAGCTGAGACAAAACCCCCTCTCCCATCCGGAACCACCGCCTCAAGCGTCCAGCTCCGCGATATTCACTTCTCCTACCCCGCCCGCCCCGACATGAAAGTCCTAAACAGCATGAACATCAACATCAAACCCGGCAGCTTCTGCGCCCTCGTCGGCCCTAGCGGTGCCGGGAAATCCACAATCATCGCCCTCATCGAGCGCCTCTACACCCCCCAATCCGGTGCTATAATCATCGATGGCGTCGACGTAACCACCCACCGCGACACCTCCTTTCGCGACTCCATCGCCCTCGTCCCACAAGAGAGCATGCTCTTCGAAGGTAGCATCGCCTTCAACATCGGTCTCGGCGCTCGCCCAGGCCATGAAGTCACTGCGCAAGAGATCGAAGACGCGTGTAAACTCGCCAACATCCACGATGTCATCGTCGCCCTCCCCGAAGGTTACGAAACCCTCTGCGGGCCGAACGGGAGCCAGTTCTCTGGCGGGCAGAAACAGCGTCTTTCCATCGCTCGGGCGCTGGTGCGGAAACCGACGCTGTTGATTCTAGATGAGTCCACCAGCGCGCTTGATGCGGAGTCGGAGCGCTTGCTGCAGGAGGGACTAGATAAGGTGGCGAGGGGGGTGACGGTGATTGCGATTGCGCATCGGTTGCATACGATTAGGAAGGCCGATACGATTTTCTTGGTAGAGGGAGGGATGTG